GCTTAAGTCAATTGGTTAAACTGAAGGTATGTAACCAGGCACCTATACCATTTAGCAAACATTTATATTACAGAATGTCATTTTCAGAATGAATATGCTAAACATTCAAGGAAACTTGTGTTCTTTATTATTAGCATTACTGACTATTAAGATGAATTCGACAAAGTTAGCCAAACAACATGGAAAACAGGTGGTGGAACTTATGATCATTGATGCACACAAAATACCAGCATATGGTTAAATTTCAAAAAGAAGTAGTTGAACGGACTTTCAGTCCAGGAAATCTATCACTATTGAACACTGCCATTAAAATATTAAGCGAACGACACAAGTAAATCTGTCGAGACAGCCATTATCAAAAACAGAAGAACAAAGTCTTCAGAATGGACTGAACTACAATAATGGTAACACGTCAGATATTGATTTCTGTGCTTCTTTATAATCATCACTCAAATTATGAGAATTAAGTAAGGAAGTACAATAAGAGATACGTCAATGTATCATACCCATATTCAAACAGAAAAACATAATACCCAACTTAACACTCAAGAGCAAAATGTATTGAAGCAAGTGAAGAATAGAGAAGACATAGTTACACCACCAGTTGACAAAGGAAGAACTACAGTAATCATGGACACAAAAGACTACATAAAGAAAGCAGATGATTTACTCAAAGATAATAATGTACATCAACAGTTGACGGAAAACCCTATATAAGCATTAGATAACAAAATCAAAATAAGCTAACGAAATCCGGACAGACTACGAAACAAGATCAGTGGCGAATGAAATTTGACGGACCTGTTTTTTATCTCGATTTTACGATAGACCAAAACTACACAAATTAGACATTCCCACAAGACCGGGAATACCAATTTATAATCTATCTGAAGGACTTTTCAGAAAACTAAAATAACTAACAGAATCATGCGACCATTCTATCAATTTGCCGATTCAATTTTTAGAGAAAATCAAAAACATCCAAGTGGATGACAATGAAATAATAGTACACTTTGATGTCACTGCATTATATACTTCAATTGGTCCAGTACTAGCAAAAGAAATTATGCAGCAACTACTGTATAGCGATAAGAATACCAAAACTCAATGTTCAACCAGGACGAGACTCAACGAACTATGCCCTATAAAATACTTCTAACTCAATAATCAAATATACGAACAGATAAAAGGAACACCAATGGGATAGACCATATGAGGATTAATAGCTGAAGCCGTTATGCGAAGATTAGAATTCATAGCCTTACCCATAATTGCAGCAAAAATCTGGGTACGTCTCGTTGGTGAAACATTTGTAATAATTAAAAGTGATTTGGAACATATTCACAAATTAATAAACAACATATTTGAAGACATTAAGTTCACAAGAGAAAAGAATATCTTAGTCAGGAGAACTAACACGGGAGATTTAGAAACACAAGTATACAGAAAATCAATGCACACAGATCAAATACTCAACCATAATAGTAATAACTTAAAAACTCACAAAAGAAACTATGTGTAGCTATTGTTTAACAAGAGTTTAAACACACTGCAGCACTCCTTTGTTGAAGACACAAGGAAGAAAAATACCTACTAAACGTCTTCGAATAGAGTGAATAACCACACAATGTCATCAAAAAGTGTTTAGACTCGAGTCATAGCACTAAAACAAGCCAACATCAAAGACAACAAGAAAATTCATCCTACCACATATGAAAAATATCTCTGAAATAACATCTCGAATATTAAGATCGTTTGAAATAGATATAAAACACAAGCCAGCCAACACAATCACTTCATTCGATATTGTGCGGACCGAAAGATCCAACAGGAAACGAAGATAAAATTAATACCATTTTTTACAAAATAAATTGCATGCATGAACTGCGCAATAAACATTATATCGGTCAAAGTAGGCTTTCCCTTCGAATCCGAATTTAAGAACACAAATTGTCTGTATAATGACATGATATGCGTTCCTTTATATCAATGCATGTGGATAATTGTGGTTAGCAATTTGATTAGGATAATGTAGAAATTTTAAATAGAGGGAACACCAAAAATATCAGGGAATTTCAAGAAGACTGATACTCAAGTGAATCAGCGATAAACAAACACATTACCATAAACCAAATTTACCAACTAATAAAAAGTAAATCGCATGTCAAGAAAGTTCGAATTCCAAGTGAATAAAAATGATCAATGGACACGTAAATCAACTACCAGTCACGACAGTGGTTGCCGGGAGATGCCATTATATCTTTCATGGAGAATTTAAGTAAATCCATTTTATACTAAAACCTGCTCTGAAGGGGATGTTGTCTAGAAGTGGGACGACAAAAATTTCACAATTAAATCAACCAGCTCAGAGAACACAACTAATTCGAAATCATCTACCTGAGCTACCAATCTTCTGCAAGTGGGATTCAGTTGCAGAAATTTAGAAACAATAATAAACCAAACGTTTGATCTGTAATGCTTTATCAGCAGAACAGAAGTGAGCATAATTCTAAGAAATCCTTGTTTCCTGTAAAACAAAGCTGATATTTAACAGTCGAAAAAGTTATTTCATGTCCATGTACATTCGAATGAGAATTCAGTTTTGTAGTTTTAAAGGACAACACTGCAGAAATATACTGGTTTGATCGTTCACATGCAACACTTAAAATCGACAAACTTATTTGTTGAGACTGAAAATTTCAGTAAATGAACAGTTACGTCTTACATTTCCAAACTTGATCAGAATAAAAGTAATCTTTTTAGACTGGTAGATGCAACACAAGCAGTCTGTGATTCGAAGTGTTACTTTTTTTAGCCACTAAAAGAAAACTGAAGCTGTTTTACATAAATTTCATTCAGACTCATTATAGCCATTACGTATTTTACAGAAAAACTGGTGTGATTATGATTAATAGGTTACAGGTGAGTGTTTACAAATATGTTACTTCAAGACTTTATTATTCTGAACAAAGTTGTGATTAGTAGAGACTTGTGAGATGGAGACTGTTTGAAGACTAACTGAGTAGATCAATTTTGTTCGGAAAATGTGGACATAGCGAAGATAAAGGTGAAGGAATCGAAGGTATTCAACCACCACCAACAATAAACAACAATCACCGTCAATGGGGGGAAATCTAGAAATAAGTTGCCTGTCTCTCTCAATTACCTCGACAGTGTTGTTTCAAGTACAGGCAGTACGGATGGGGATATCAAGTTCCATCATGACTGGGAAAGCGAACCAGGTATTCATTATCCTAAAAACAATGTGCAGGCGGACAACATTAAGTACATGGAAAAAGATCCCAATTTTGCAAAACGAATGTCAAGTCAGTGATTCTTTATGATGCTTCAGAGGCTTAGTGGACGCGTTACGAAAAGCAGACTTTCATCATTATCTGCCTTTTCAGCGGCTCTATAGTGAAGATCAAATGACTAGCTGAAAGGGATGAGCAACAAAAAACTCTAGTAGTGCAGCGAACCAGTCAACAAATGTGCAAAAGGAGGAGGAAATAGATTGGATATACCCTGAAAAGATCACTGAGTGACATCTCATGCCAGCTCTTAGAATGAAAGCCGAATGAGAAACATCTGGTTGAGCGTATTTCAGAGGGGGACATGGAGAAGTACTTGTGAAGAGAAAATGAAAGCGTTTTTAGAAGTCTTAGAGTGAGCTATAAAAGACAAAAAAGGACATAGCACAATAAAAATGTGCTGCTGAAGCCCTTCCGGTTCTACATTTATATACATGTTTATATAGACAGAATATTCTAGATTAGTAGTCAGTAACAATATTAGTGTTTTTTTAAATAATATCGATTTGTAAAGTAAGATCAATCCAATTACAGTTCATTAAAGATGCTTAAATTATAATAATAATAATAAAAATATAGAAGCGAATAGAATATCAACTAAAATTAGGGAAATTCCACAAAAATTCATGATCATTCAAACCTAGATGGCCAAGGTAATGATAGTGTCTGAACTAACTTCTTTTGGATGCATAAATTAGGCTTGTTAATATGGGTCGCCACAGCCTCAGCAATATTTAGAAGTCGAAATCCTAAAGCAAAATTGAGACTCGTAGGTATGCGGTAAATGACCCTGAAAGCATGATTAGCGTCAATCTTGTGTTCTATACGGTAAAAAAAGCATTCTATGCTGCCGAATTACACTGTATCTTTAAAACCACTCCTCTTTTTCGTTCGGGAGTAAAGGACAAACTGCCTAATTTCGCCTCTTCCATGTGTATCTACCAATTTAACTTCTCCTGTGGAGCCAGTTACATAGGCAGTACAAATAGGCGTGTTTCGTATCGAATTTCTGAACATTACCCTGCCTGGTTAAGCAAAAGACAAACAAAATCTGTTCGCAGCTCTATTCTGGCTCATCTTGTGGAGACGGAACACAAGATTGACGTTAACCGTGATTTCAGGGTCATTTACCGCATACCTACGAATCTCAATTTCGCTTTAAGATTTCGACTTCTAAATATTGCTGAGGCTGTGGGGATCTATATTAAGAAGCCTAAGTTTTGCATCCAAAAGAAGTTAGTTCAGACACTATCATTACCTTGGCCATCTAGGTTTGAATGATCATGAATTTTTGTGGAATTTTCCTAATTTTAGTTGATATTCTATTCGCTTCTATATCTTTATTATTATTATTATAATTTAAGCATCTTCAATGAACTGTAATTCCATTTTGATCTTACTTTACAAATCGATATTATTTAAAAAACACTAATATTGTTATTGACTACTAATTTAGAATATTCTATGTATATAAACATATATATAAATGTAGAGCCGGAAGAGGAATTTATCGCAAAGAATATTATTTGCTCGATTATTTTGTAATTTCACAGTTTCCGAATCCGACTGTTACATTAAATGACTAGTACTATTAATACTACTTCTAATGCTGCATAAAATGTGCAATAATACAAAAAAGCCCCATTGATATGAATCGCATAAAGATTAAATTGACATTAAGGAACTAACCTTTTCTTTATCTGTCATTAATGATGAATAGAATAGATGTTTCCGTTTATCTTCTGTTGACAGACTAATATCCCATAATCGTGGATCCGTAACAGGTAGACATGAATCTATTAATATTATTATTTTATTAGAAAAATTATTTAATAGATAATTAGAACTATGTACATAATCTTTACCTGGACAATTTTTCTCACTCATTCTATTTGATACCATTCTTGTAGACAATGATGATAGAGAACGTTTCACATGGACATTATTACTACTGCTAATCGATGGACTTGGTGGAGGTAAACCATTGGCTGAATAATTACCTCTTTGAAATGTTGTTAATAAGGAAGCAGATGAATTATGATGATGATGCTGTGAATTATTAGAATTTGAAGAATTGAATAAACATTTGTTGGATAACTGTCCATTATCTCTATCATTGTTATCATTATTATTAGAAGTAGTATTGTGACACCATGAAGAAAGTTGGCTTTTCTCATTGAATGATGATACCGTGGTAGCATTGGCATTAGAATTTGTATTTTTACTGTATTGATTATGACTGTTGGGTGTTGATTTCGATGGAGTTGTTGTTGACGATGATACCTGAGATGAACGATAATCTGGTGGTAGTTGAAATCCGCATAGATTAAACATATCCTTTACTACGGAGGTTTTCACTTCATCATCAAGTTGTGTATTTGTATGCAGACTAAAATAGAAAATGTGTGCTTCTTTACTGGTCTCATCATGATAAGATGAAAGATTAACGTAATGACTTCAATTAGGGAACCAGTGAAAACCAAGTATTACAAAACAACTGTTTCATCTTTGTTTGAGACTCATCATCAGTATCCACCCAAGACTCAATTGGGTGGGGACAAAATCCAGTGCTCAATCAATTCTAACTTCTGTTGAAGAGTTCCAAACAGGGACGAGACGTTTCTTCTGTATTACCTGGATTTTAGTGATTCCATAACTAAGATCAGTTCGCGGTCATTGTTAAAACCAGTCAGATTTCTGCAAGCCAACACTTGAGAAGCTAATAACCCCCAGACTTTAGCTAAGTATCTCAAGTAGCTATACTAATACCAATTACAAAGCTTTTTAAATTGACTAGTGGGAAAAATAGGTTATTCAATGAGTTCTTTGACGTAGACTTGAAGTCTTTGTTTATTTAAGTTACTTTGACTGAATTTTATTGGACAGCTGTCATTTCACCCTTAGAAGGGATACCATTTTGACCTTCAAATATCATCAAACCCACCGTCATAGGAGCGGGCATGGTGAAGAGACCAATCATTTTGATTCAGAAAAAAAACAATCATTGAGGAATACAAATACTTCTACAAAAAGAAACCAATGACCGTTACACAAGAGATGACTTTTGTGGCTCTTGTGGACTAATAGACAACGCCATGGCAGTTGAAATGATGCGTATTATGGTTGAATTTCTATGAAATCAATTGCGTCCATCAGATGAGTCTCAAATAGGATCAAAGGTGCATCCTGGATCTCACTGCTATTTACCGTTGACCAAACTAACTGGACATCCATCATATATGATGCCTTACTGATGTACATTCTTTGTCTTGGTATCGGTATAAAACGCAAGTTAGAAAAAGACTTGATATGCAAACGGAGATTTCAAACCCTGTGTCTAATTACTTCTCTCGTATTTCTAAACATTTACGATTTATTTCCTGATTATGACAATTTTGAGGAAATATTTTAGTTGTGCGCTGTGTATAGAAAGAACGAAATGGGATATGAAAGCAAACAGTTTGATAAAATGAGGTAAGAGCAACTGGTATTGATAACTTTGAATGTGTCGATCGTTCAGGAGTGGAACGCTTACCAATAACGCACGTGCTTCGGTTTCGATTCCCGGCTGACACACTCCTAAACCCCGCTCTACAGGTAGGAAGCCCGATAAAGAGGGAGAGGCTACTGCAACATTAAGACGCAAGCTTGAAACCATATGACCCACTGGAAACACAAAGGAATGTAAGAAATAACTTTGAGTACAACAAAAAAAATCCTGTCGAATATTTATAATTGACAAGATAAGTAAGGCACTAATTTGAAGTGTGATGAGGAACTGAAACAGTATGGATTAACATGGAGGCAAGTGAAAAGTACAGCACAAGACAGAAGCAAGTGGAGGCGTGCAGTTGAAGCCCTATGTTCCACTAGGAACCCAAGGGAACAATAATATAATAATAATAATTTGAAGTTTGCAGATAGTACTTTTGTCCCCATATGAGTTGATCACAAAAAGATATTGAACTGGTTCATCAATAAGAAGGAATGAAATCAAGAAATTACAAAATAATGTGTAGATATTTTCAGTTTTATAAAGACTTATCGAAAAATAACTTAACAACACTCAATATCCTCTTATCGCGTATCTTGATGTCAGCAGTAACTTTTGAATAACCGTGATACACCAAGATAAGTAACAATTTATACTTGCACATAAATCACAGACCATTGCATCTTACCCATTTACATTTCATCTTATACGGCAACAAGTGGTCCGAATAAAATCAAAGGGCTTTTGTATTGTTTTAATCTAGTGTTACATGTTTTGTACTATAACAAATGACACTAAATAAGGGGAACTGTAATTGTTGACACTATGTCATGTGACAGAGAGTTAAGTATGCAAATTCATTGCTCTATATATAATGCTAATTATATGTATATATATATATATCAGGTAATGATATTAATAATAGGAATAACAATATCAGTTCAATCCCATGATAATTAAATAGATATTTTCAAGTTAATCTATTTTAATGTGATTATTTCAAATGAAAGTATATAAGAATTGAATTGGTGGATGATGACTAGCAGTGGAATCCAGGATGCACATTTCGTTCTGTTTGGGACTCGTCAACTGGATATACCTGCATTCCCCAGTGAGTGATGATGTTCCCACCGAGGCTCGAACCCAGTGCCCATAGCATCAAACGCCAAAGCGTTATCCACCAGACCACTTGGGCCACGAGAGCCACCTCTTGTGCAACGGGCACTGGGCACTGGGTTCGAGCCTCGGTGGGAACATCATCACTCACTGCGGAATGCAGGTACATCCAGATGACAAGTCCCAAACAAGACGAAATGCGCATCCTGGATTCCACTGCTAGTCACCATCCACCAGTTAACTTCCAATTACATGCCCAGACATCGTCGAAGCATCTGCACAAGAAGCCGACATGTCAACCTGAAACTGAGCACTTCGGTCCAAACAATCGGCGGGAAAATCTAAAATTCAATTGAATGAAAGAAAATACATAAGGATTTTGGATTTTGTTAGAATATCGAATTATATAGATTTCGTCATGAACCCACATACAGTTATTGAGAACCAAGGAGCACTAGAAAGCCATTTCATCGATGAGACTGGTTGGTGGTAATACTATATCTCGGAATTAACAGAAGTTAGAATTTCTGAGATCAGTGAATTTCAAACTGGTAGCTGAATTGGTCGACTGGCTAGCTTCATAACCTGAAGGTCCTGGGTCGTCCAATCCAAACTAGGACATAACGACTGCCCAGTGTTAGTTAGTTCTCAATGATATACTAATCTATATCGGGTTGTGACAGAATTTACAGTGAAATCTTTCTAATTTGAAAACAGCTCACCCAATGGACTGGCATAAGATACATAACTACCTAGAAGTAATAAATACTCTATAAATGTTCCCTACCACTTTATGAATATTTAAGTGTATACAGTTTCGATTCTTCAGTGAATTTGAGCTAAACCTAAATAGATTGAATAGTGGCAACAGTGACATACAATCATAGGGGTAAAATGTGCTGATAGATATTTTTTTGGTAAGTGTAGATCGCTTGCATGTACAAACTACTATGAGTCCTAACTAAAGGTCCATCAACGCCAGAAATGTGTGTACACAGAAATATAGTGGATTTAAGTGAATTAATTTTCAATATCTCATTTTATGATGAATTATCTGTTTCCGGATTATACCACTTGGTGCTTTCTTATTTGTATGAGCTTGCATTTTAATTAAATCGATGTTTTGTTGTTATTGAGTGTACTACAAATTTCGTTGTTTGAATTATTTCCACTCACTGCCTCTAAAGCTAAAGAATGTCCTACTTTTAACCGTATGACAGTGTTACACGTCTCAATTTTGATCAAGAATTAACTTCAGTCAGAGAATCATTGAAAACCAGGGAGTACTGAACAGCTGTTTAGTCGTAGTTTAACTCAAGGCGTTCAGGTTACAAGGAGGACTTGTTTACCATTCAGCCACTGGGATAGAAACCAGTGGCTCATCAATTCTAACTACTACCAACTCGTGATATAACGCGACAGCAGGGTTGTGATCATAGGTACTTCTTCTAAAGAGTTTCAGACTAGGACGAAACCAGCTTTCGAGTACTTTATGGTTTTCAGTGGTTCTTTAACTGAAATCCATTAGTGAACGAAATTCAAATTACTCAAATTCCAGCAAATCAACAATTAAAAATGTGACACGTTTTTGCTAATGTGCACCGTGATGGCGAGCTACTTAGAATGGTGGTCACATTGCAAAACCTGAGCGTTAGAATTCAGTCTGCATCAAAGAAAGGACTAGACACGTCACACTAGTTACTGGTGTCCAATCCAGATACCCACTACAGTCGTACAGGAGGTCAATCGTGAGCCCGAATAGCTCAGTGATAACGTCTTTGACTGGATCACTGGGTGACGCTGGTTCGAATCTCAGAAGAGACATGAGTTCCTTCAAGGTTGAAGATACGCGTTGCTGATGAGTGCCAACTAGCACGAAACCTAAGTCTCAGGCTTCCTGTGGCCGATTGCCTTCAACTATCTAATATCATATCAAAGTTTGTTTAGTGTAATGTCTATTAGTGACTGAAGTTGAAAAGATACTTCATGAACTTGTTTTCGTTAAAATCTAGCAACACCTCACAAATCTTTGGAAGATTTGTTAGTTAAAACGATATTCATGTCGGTTTGACGAGAGATTCTTTCCACTGCTGTGAACGCCTTACTGTTCCTCTAAGTTCATTAGTACTTAATTGTTCTGTCTTTTTGCATTCTGTCAGGCACAAATTCTGGAGATGGTTTGTTAGATAATAATAATAAGAAGTTATTTCTGCTTATGTGAAACACCTTATAAGAGTTACCTGTGAAATGTTTTATTGCACACAAGAATCAAACTCATTAGACGTGTGAATAAACCCTTTTAATTGATTTATTTTTAAGGAGATATACCAAGCGAGATAATTACGAGGAAATTAAGAAAATCAGTTCAAAGAACTTTTAATGCTGGCGAACTACACATCTTATTCTCTACACGATCGATGGTGCTACCTTGACTGAAAGATGAAGTATCTAGACTAGTCTCTTCAAATTGTATCTACCAATTCAACTGAGCTTGTGGAGCGAGTTAAATTGTCTGTTGCTCTAGGAACTTGATTTTTCGTGCTCGAGAACATCGCCCACTATGACTAAGTAAAGGTGTAGTGAAAAGCCACTAACAGTTCGATATTGGACCATCTGGTGCAAACCAGTCACAAAGCCAGCGTAGAAGAATCCTTTTCTATAATATACCGGGTGCCTAACAAATTATCAAAATCATCGAAGCATCACGTGCTCCAAACAGCAGAGGCTATTGCAATTCGCCTCAAACAACCAGTGCTCTGTGTGCAAAAGAAACAAGTCCA